CGCCTGTGGCACCTGTAGGCCCCGTGGGACCTGCGGAACTTGCGGGGCCTGCGGGACCGGCGCGACATGTGGGACCTGTGGGACCTGTGGGACCGGAGGGGCTGGGTGGACCTGTGGGGCCTGTGGGACCTGTAGGGCCTGAGGGGCCTGTGGGGCATGCGTCGCCTGTGGGACGTGTGGGACATGCGGGACCTGCGCGACCTGCGAAACCTGTGGGACCTGCGGGTCCTGCGGAACCTGCGGGACCTGCGGACCCCGTGGCCCTTGTAGGACCTGTAAGCCCTATGGGGCCTGTGGGACCTGTGGGGCCTTCGGGGCATGTGGGACCTGGGGGGACTGGGACTTGCGGGGCCTGCGGGACTTGCCAGACCTACGAGGCCTGCGGGGCTTGCGGGACTTGTAGGACCTGTGGGACATGTGGGGCATGTGGGACTTGTGGGACATGTGGGATATGCTGGGCCTGCGGGATTTGTGGGACCTGCGCGACCTGCGGGACTTGTGGGACTCGTGGGACCTGTGCTGGCGGCGGGACCTGTCGGACCTGCGGGACCTGTGGGACCCGGGGGGCCTGTGGGACCTGTGGGACCTGAGGGACCTGGGAGACCTGCGGAACCTGTGGGACCTGTGAGAGCTGCGGGACCTGCGGGACATGTGCGACCGGTGGACCTGCGAGAACCTGTGAAACCTGTGGGGTCATTCATACCTGTGGGACCTGTGGCACCTGCGGACCTGCGGGACCTGCGGGTCCTGTGGGACCTGTTGGACCTATGGGTCCTCTGGGACCTACGGGACCTGTGGGAATTGCGGGACATGCGGGACCTGCGAGACCTTTAAAACCTGTAAGACCCGTGGGGCCTGCGGAACCTGTGGGACGTGCGGGACCTGCATGTGGGACCTGTGGGACCTGCGGGGCCTGCGGGGCCTATGGAGTATGCGGGACTGGCGGGTCCTGCGCGACCTGCGAGACCTGTGGGACCTACGGACCCTGTGGATCCTGTGGGGCCTGCGGGACCTGTGGGGCTTGTGGGACCTGTAGGACCTGCGGGACCTGTGGGACCCAGTGGGACCTGCGGGACCTGCGGGGCCTGCGGGGCCTGCGGGACCTGCGAGACCTGCGCGACACGCGGGACCTGCGGAACCTGTGGAACCTATGGGACATGTGAAACATGTGGGACCTGTGGGGCCTGTGGGACCTGTGGGGCCCGCGAGGCCTGTGGGACCCTTGGGACCTGTGGGCCGTGTGGGACCTGTAGGACCTGCGAGACCTGTGGGACCTTTGGCACCTTCTTTGCGACTTGTGGGTCCTGTGGGACCTGTAAGACCTGTGGGACCTGCGGGACCTGTGACACCTGCAAGACCTTGGGACCGGTGGGATTTGTTGGGCCTGAGGGACCTGTGGGACCTGTGGGACCTGCGGGACCTGCGGGACCTCCGGGACCTGTGGCACCTGTGGCACCTGTGCGGCCTGTGGGACCTGCGGGACCTGCGGGACCTGCGAGACCGGCGAGACCTTCGAGACCTGCGGGACCCGTGGGACCTATGGGACCTGTGGGACATCTGGGACACGTGGGACCTGTGGAACCTGTGGGACCTGTGACCGCCGAGGACCCAAGTAAGGCCCTGAATTCTGGGACCGCCAGGCACCCAAGTAAGGACCTTACTTGGGACCCCGGGAATTCCTTATTAAATTTGGTGGATCGACAGATGTCTCGCACTTTGGGACCATCGAGGCCCCCCGGGGGGCATTTATTAAGGAACCAAAAGTTTCCTTACGTCCACCATGTTTTCTTGGAGCGGAAAGACCCAAAGTTCAAACGTCCCGGCGTGGCCGTCGGAGGCCTCCAACCAGCCACCCAGCTTGGAAACGCGCGGCAAATGTTTCGCCGAGGCTGAACGCGACTCTGCTGCCGTCGCCACCGTAGCTGCACTGCATCCGGTGATCCACTGGCCTCAGGGCCCCGAAGAGTAAGCCTCCTAGCGGTGTCCTGACGACCTCCTGGAATCTGGGGGGAGACCGCCGGGGGACCTCCCCTGGTCCTCTTGGGGGCCTCCCGCAAACTTCCAGAAGGGGGCTGGGAGGTCTCCCAGAAGCTTTTTCTGGTCCTTGCAAGCCTGCTGGGAATCCTCCCCGAGGACCAGGGTCCGGGAGCCTCCCCCAGACCTCGAAATCTGGCAGGGCTCCCTCCAAGGGGAAACTTCCGGGGAGACCAGGGGAGGCCCCCTGGAAACCTCCCCTGGTCCTCCCGGGGCGCTGGGGGGAAACTTGGTGGAGGACCAGGTGAGGTCTCCTGGAAGCTCCCCCTGGTCCTCCCGAAAGCCTCCCACAGGAGACCTCCCCCCTGCGGGAACTCCCATCGGAGGCTTCCAGGTGAACCAGGGGAAGCCTCCCAGAGACCTCCCCTGGTCGTCCCGGAAGCCTGGGGGAGGCCTCGCCTGGTGCTCCCAGGGGCCGTGGGAAGCCTCTCGCCACACCTTGTGGGAACCAAGGGAAGCCTCCGGAAGGCCTCCCCAAGCCCTCGGGGGGATCAGGGGGAGGTCTCCAGGAGAACCAAAGGAAGTTTGGTGGAGGCCCCTTCCACCTCGCCGGAGGAGGGCCCGCTGGGAGGTCCGGTCGACGGGGAAGGGGGGCATCCCACCAAACCTGTTGGAGGTGGAAGGGAGGTCTGGTACCAGACCTAATGGGGTTGGGGGTAACTGAAGACCCAACCCAGGGAAAGCAAGAAAACCAGCATGGAGGCGAACGCGGCCCAAGACGGCACCAAGATACCCCCCCAGGCAACTCACGACGGCCGAAGAGGGCCCCTAATGTCCCAGGTAGCCCCATATACGACTCAAGAGTGTCCCAGGAGGCCCCCATGACAACCCGACAGTAACCCATGACATACCACATGTTGTCCATGTGTGCCATGTGAGAACCCCAGGAGACGCAATAATGAGACAAGGATAACGAAATGGAAGAAGGGAGGGTGACAACATGGGGGACGTGGGAAGGGGGAGGGCGACGACGTAGACGAAGGAGTGCGCCCCGAAGCGGCGCGGAAGAGCGCGTCACATGTTGCGGCCATTGCAAGGCTATGGGCGACGACATGTCGCGCGTTATGGCTTTCGTGGCGGTGTTCGAAGACTCGCCACGCCGACTGCTGCGCGGTCGCGGTGCGCGGGACTTGCCGCGAACAGATCGGCATGACAAACGCGCCGTGGTTTCTACCACAACCGCGCGACGCGTATGATTTGTCAACAATGTCGCGCCCTCCACGAGCGGACCGGGCCCTCCACTTTGAGACGTGCGCAATAAAACACCATCAAAACATAATGCGAGTGGACGAGGGGGAAAGCAACCAGAAGAGGTCGCGCGAAAGGTGGACAACAAATGAACAATGCTCACAAAAAAATCACATGCGCAAGCGCCCAACGAAACAAACTTATAGACACTCCAACAATTTGGCGCGCCGCGAAGAAGGGAAAAGGGGCGGGGGGCCCGCGTGCCCACGAGGAACAAACTTAACGGCATGGTAATCGCTACTGGACACGCCGTCACGCAGAGCCGCTCTGACAACACACACGCACACGGGCGCATCATCGCGCAAAAGCGGCCGAACCACGCCGCGCGAAGCATCGCTGCGCCAAGGCGATCCGCCCATGCAAAACACGCGCAAATGGCATCCGAAAAGAGCGTTACGCGCCGCGCAAAAAAATATGGCGCGGTGCCGCAACAATCAGGCGGCTACGAATGTAAACTCCTCTGAACTGCGCGCACGCGCGTCGTGTTAAACAGGCCGCGCCGCGCAGGCACGCCACTCGGTCTCGCGCCAGCACGTCGAAGGGAAGGTCTGCGGGAGACGCTCTGCAAGTGGCAATGAAGCAACCCCACGAGAACGCGATACATGTGAAATCGAAGCACGTGCCAACAGTAACCGCGACAACAAAACAACCAACAACAAATCATTTTAAAGAAACATCCATAACTTCCGGTTGCGGTGGTTTCTTGCGCGGTCAATCACCTTCCACACCATCCACGCGGACAGCACGAATATGGGAGACCAAAACTATGCCTGTCCAATCGTTACCCCTGACCTCTTAGCACGGGGGAATCGGAACGGGCCCTGATGGAAACGGATCACCCCAGGACTAATTCTTCATCCTTAAACCGTCTTCGGACGGTGCCCGAGCCCGTGGGTGGCTCTCGCAGCGGGCATTCCCTGCCGACGGGGCGCCGACAGCCGCCTGAACACCGGCACGACGCCGAGCCCTGAGGACACTCACGCCCGTCCCGCCCTCGCCCACCTCCCCGCAGTCCATCTCCTAGCCGACACCCACCCCATAAGGAGACAACAAGGACCGCTATATACCGCTATTCCCCGGACCTCTCCCAGGGTGCGTTCTGACGAAGATTTCAAGGCGAATCTAGCGGTGGCGACGAGGGCCCCCCAGGAGGCCCAAAAAGGTGATAACGAGCGAAGGGTCGCGGTATCAGCACCTTTGCCTCCTCTGATACCCAGGGTATGCCTATACTATCGTTGCCTCTGACCTGTCCCCTGGGCGATCCCATTTCATGACGATCCTATATCGGCGGCGAGCGAGGGGAGAAGTGAAAAGGAGAAGGCCTTTTCAGAAGGCGGCGGGACTTCTCAGACACCTTCGCGCCTTCTGAATGGTGTTCTGAATGGGACTTTTGAGAAGGCCAGGGAACTCTCGAGCCTTCTGAGAAGGCCTTCTCCTTCTCACTTCCCCCCCTCGCTCTTGAGCAGGGAGCGACCGCCCTGGCACTCCTGTAAGCCTACCACGACATGCTCCGAGGAAATGTCAGAACATCAACAGCAATGTTCTCATGACATGAACTGGACGATCAAAAACAGTTCTCAGCTAGAAATGCGCTGCGGACATACATCTCGTGCCCACCAGAAGTTCTTCGAGCACTCTGCGGTGGGCCTGTGGGCAAGCCAGAACGCCTCGCCACTGTCTGACGCTCTCCGCCTGCTGTCCTCCCCCCTGGAGGCCACCGTCGCCGCCCTGCGCCCCGCCGAGCGCGGCGCCCTCCTCCGGCGCGAGGCCGCCGCCGGCAGCGCGCCGCGGCGCGGCGCCGCCCTGGCGAGGCGGGCGGGGGGGGAGCAGCAGGCGCCGTGGCGGCGCCGCGCCCCGGAGCTGCCGGGCTCTGCCCCCCCCCGACCCATCGGGGTTCGAGGGGGCCGTCGGCCCTCGCCGAGGGCCGCCGCGATTGCACCGTTGAATCTCGCAGAGTCGGCTCTCAGGGTTCGCTCATCCTCGACCCCCTCATCTGCGCCTCCTCCTCCTCCTCCTCCTCCTCCTCCTCCGCCTCCTCCTCCTCCTCCTCCTCCCCCTCCTCCTCTTCGGGAAGGGGGTCCCTCCTTACCAGCCCCCCTGGACATCCCCTTCCAGGAGCCCCCAAACCCTTTTTTCCCAAACCCTCAGGAACTACCCATCCCCCTCCCTCCCCTTGGAACCCCCTTTTTGCGGCTCTTGATCCGCCCCTTGGAAGCTCCACCCCCCCTCCCCCCTTTCGCGCTCCGGAGGCTACACCCCCACCTCCTTTTCCCAAAGGGGGAAGGCTTAGCCCCTCCCCTTTGAACCCCCCCCTGCCGGAAGCTCCCGCCCCTTCCCCCCTTTGGGGCTATAGCCCCCCTTGGGTAAAGGAAGGAGCGCCGAAGACCAAAACGGCGCCGAAAACCAACATAGCGCCGAAAACCAAAGAGCCACCGAAAACCGAAAGGGTGGGAAAACCAAAAGGGCGCCGAAAACCAGGAGGGCGCCAAAAACCGAAAGGGCGCCGAAAATCGAAGGCGCGCCGAAGACCAAAAGGGCACCGAAAACCACAACGGCGCCGAAAACCACAGGAGCGCCGAAAACAAAAGGGGCGCCAAAAACAAAAGAGCGCCGACAACCACAAGGGAGCCGAAAACACAAGGAGCACCGAAAACCACAATAGCGCCGAAAAGCAAAGGGGCGCAGAGAACCAAAGGAGCGCCGAAAACCACAATGAACGCCGAAAACCAAAAGGGCGCCGGAAACCAAAACAGGCTCCGAAAACCAGCGGGGCACCGAAAACCAGAGAGGCGCCGAAAACCACGGGGGGGCGCCGAGATCCACAGCAGCGCCGAAAATCAAAAGGGCGCCGGAAACCAAAGGAGCACCGAAACCCAAAAGGGCGCCCTAAACCAAAAGGTCGCCGAACTTGAAAAGGACGCCGGACACCACAGGGGCGCCGAAAACCGATAAGCCGCCGACAACCAAAAGGTCGCCAAACACTAAAACGGGCACCGAAAACCAATTCGGCACCGAAAACTCAAGGGGCGCCGAAAACCAAAAGGCCACCGAAAAGCACAACGGCGCCGAAAACCAAAGGAGCGCCGAAAACCACAAGGGCGCCGAGAACCAAAGGAGTGCCGAAAACCACAAGGGCGCCGAAAACCAAAAGGGCGCTGAAAAACAAGGGGGCGCATCAAGCCAAAAGGATGACGAAAACCAAAAAAGCGCCGAACACAAACAGGTGCGCCGGGAAACAAAGATGCGCTGGAAACAACAAGGGCGGCGAACCGAACAAATAACACCGAAAACTAAGGCGCCGAAAACCAACAGGGCGCCGAAAACAAAAGGGCGCCAGGCACCCAAGGAGCGCCGAGAACCACAAGGAGCGCCGAAAACCAAAGGGGCTCCGAAAACCAAAGGGGCTCCGAAAACGAAAGGGGCTCCGCAAACCACAAGGGCACCGAAGTATAAAAGGAGCGCCGACAACGAAAGGGGCGCCGAAAAGAACAGAAACTCCGAAGACGGACAGGGCGTCGAAAACAAAAAGGACGTCGAAAACCAGAAGGGCGCCGAAAACCGCAGGAGCTCCGAAAACCAAATGGGCGCCGAAAACCAAAGAGGCGCCGAAAACCAAAGGGGCACCGAAAACCAACGATGCGCCGAAAACTAACAGAGCGCCGAAAAACCAAACACGCGCCGATAACAAAAAAAGGCGCCGAAAACCAAAGTGCGCCAAAAACCTAAAGAGCACCGAAAGCCGAAGGGCGCCCAAAACCAAAGGGGCGCCGAAAACCAAAGAGCACCGAAAGGCAAAAGGTCGCAGAAAACTAAAGGGGCGCCGAAAGGCAGAAGGGCGCCGAACGCCGAAATCCAAGAGGGCTCCGAAAACCAAAGGGGCGCCGGAACTCAAGAGGGCGCCGAAAACCAACGATTCGCTCAAAACGAAAGGGTGCGCAGAAAACCAAAAGGGGCGTCGAACACCAAAGGAGCGCCGAAAAACCACAGGAGCGCCGAAACCCGAAGGAGCGCCGAAAACGGAAGGAGCGCCGAAAACCGAAGGAGCGCCGAAAACGAAAGGAGCGCCAAAGGCCCAAGTGACGCCGAAAACCAAAGAGGCGCCGAAAACCAAAAAGACGCCCAAAACCACAAGTACGCCGACAACCAACGGGGCGCTCAAAACCCAAAGGTGCGCAGAAAACCAAAAGGGGCGTCGAAAACCAAAGGAGCGCCGAAAACCACAGGAGCGCCGAAAACGGAAGGAGCGCCGAAAACCAAAGGAGCGCCGAAAACGAAAGGAGCGCCAAAGGCCCAAGGGACGCCGAAAACCAAAGAGACGCCGAGAACCAAAGAGGCGCCGAAGACCACAAGTACGCCGAGAACCAACGGGGCGCCGAAAACCAAAGAAGAACAGTAGCTTCGAAGCCTCCCCTTCAGTCAGGACCATGCAGCTGGAAAAGCCAACAGAGGGAGAGGGGGGGGAGCTTCGGAAGCTCCCTCCGCCCCCATTTGAAAAGGGGAGCCGGGCATAACCCCAGAGGGTCTCTAATAAACCCCCGGGCAATAATTTTATGTCGGGCGTGCCCCCCTACTGGGGGATTTTCGACGAAAGATAAAACATACACCAAAAATACCCCCAAAAGACCAACAAAATATTCAAAACATAGTCCCCAGACTATTTTTGGACTATGTTGGGGGTATTTTTAATTTTTTGTCGAAAATCTCCCTGTAGGGGGACACGTCCGCCATAACAATAATTGTAAACAAATAAATTGTCCGCCGGCTTATTGACGGATTGGGACCCCGACAATAGTTGGAAATTATTTACTCTCGTCGGCGGATGCATGAGAGGTCATGAGAAGTGCTCCAAAATCCCATCGCTCAACGCCTGGTGGCCTCCTCCTCTTCCTCCTCCTCTTCCTCCTCCTCCTCCTCCTCCTCCTCCTCCTCCTCCTCTCCGACACCAGGAGAGGAGGAGGAGGAGGGACGAGTTTCTATTCCCCGCTGAGAGCTTAGGGGGGGGGCATCATTAAAGATCCTCTGCGGTTACCCCGGGCCGCGAAAAAGGGGGGGGGGTAGCTTCCAAGCCACCCCCCACCTTTGCTTTAGCCAGAAACTCCCCAGCTACAACATCCAAACAAAAGGAAGGGGGCGTAGTTTCGGAAGCCCCCCCCGTTTGAAAGGGGAGCCCTGGCTGACCCCGGGCCCCGAAAAAGGGGAGAGGGGGGTTAGCTTCCAAGCCCCCCCCCCCCCCCCTTAGCTAGGGCCCCCACAGCTAAACATACCTGCAAGAGGTGGGAGAGGGGGGGTAGCTCCAGAAGCCCCACCCCTCTTTCCAAGGAAGGGGGGAGGGAGTAGCCCCCCTTTTAATGAGAAGTGTGCCACGAGCGCGCTCTTTCGCCACTCTTCTTCTTCCTACATCCTCGTCGTCGTCGTCGTCCTCCTCCTCCTCCTCCTCCTCCTCCTCCTCCTCCTCCTCCCCCTCCTCCTTCTCCTCGTGCTCATGGTCCTCGTCAACGTCCTCATCCTGGCCCTGGCCCGTCCCTCCCCTGGCTTTGCCCCTCGCGACCCGATCCTCGGACCTGCTCCCCGTGGCCTGGCGCGTCGGATTGCGCACAGACATCTCCCCCAGGCAGCCCCGGCTGGCCTCCACAGGCCCCCCGAATAGTCCCAACTGGCCTCAACAAGCCCCCCGAGCAGTCCGGGGCGGTCTCGGAGCGCTCCAGGGGCGCCACCAGAGGCGGCGCCAGGGTGTTGAGACCGCTCTGGACTACTCTGGGGGCCTGTTGAAGCGAGCAGGTGCTACTGGGATGGCCTGCTGAGACCAGCCGGGACTACCTTGGGGGCTGTCTGTGCGCAACCTGGAGCTTTACCAACTCGATCCCCATGACCTCCCCCTCTGGTGGTGTACGGACCATAACTCGACACTCTGGCGGCCGTTCGGGACGATTCTGGCACCCCAAAAACGCCCTCGACGAGGCGCAATTGCTGGAGAGTAAAACCGCCCCAAAAAATATAAAGTTCTTCGAAAACCTTGAACCTCGAACTTGGAGTACCATGTGGGACCTGCTTGAGAACAGGAGTAGACGCATCTACCCATTCTCCGATCTCAACTATACTGCGCCGAACGCAACGACCGCGTTGCCTATAGACGCGTCGAGCCCGAATGTGTCTACATACGTAGCGACTCCTACATACGTAGCGACTCCCGATGCCTCTATTGACGTTTGTGGCCACAGGCCCCAGGCACTTGTCTTCTAAACGTAGGCATACGTTGCCCTCCAACCTCGAATCTCGAACGACGATCCTTCTTGTTTTGCGAACCTGCTGCCCGAGACCCCCCGACGGCAACGGCGACGGCGACGACGACGACGACAGGCGGCGACGACGGGCGACGACGACGCCGACGCCGACGACGAAGACGACGACCACCACCCGCCGCGGCGTCCACCTCGCTGCTCGCCCCGCCGGGCCGCTCGCGCACGCGCTCCTCCACGGCTCCCCGCCGCGGGGCCCTGCCGGCAGGGAGGGGGGGGTTCTCCTCCTCGTCCTCGTCCTCGTCCTCGTCCTCGTCCTCGTCCTACTCCTCCTCCTCCTCCTCCTCCTCCTCCTCCTCCTCCTCCTCATCCGTAGCCAGTTTGGCTCAAGTCCGTAACAGTTTCGCTCAGAACTTGACTGGACTTTGTGGCGTGGGGGAGGTTCGGCCCCCGACAGCTCAGAGTCTCCATCCCAGCCTGCCAAGGCTGGAGACCCTTCCCTTTCCACGTACTCCAACATTTACTGTCCTGAGGTGTTCAGCCTCGTATGACCAAGCAGCATGCGCCTTGGATTTATTCTCGTCCTGCTGCTGATGAATGAAAGCTCGCAGCCACTAAGCCAGAATTGCTCAAACTGTTGGTCTTGTGGCTGTGGCAAGAACAGGAAGTCGGCGAACACTTGTTTCCAGTGCGGAGCGTCCCTCTACTCCAAGGAGCCATGGCCCGACCTGCAGCTGGCCGCGGCTGGAGCAGAGGCACCAGGCAAGCCAGGTCGCTGGCGCAGTGGCCGTGGGCGCGGCGCGGGGGGCGATCCAGCAGGAGGCACAGGCGGCGGCAAGGGCAAAGGCGACGGCAAGGGGCAGACAGGCGACACTCGCCCACCTCTGCGCGCTGAGCCCCAGTTCGCCAGTGGCGCCGACCCCATGGCGTTCGATGTCCACTAGATGCAGAGAGAGGAGGTCCAGCAGCTCCTGGCACTGGCCAGCAAGCACGGCCTCACCATGGTTGCCAACAAATGCAAGTGCAAGCTCCGCCTGTTGGAGGTGGATCGCCTGGCTGCTGCCCCTGTGCTGCTGCCGCCCGAGAAGCAGTTGGCTTTGTTGGCCGATGAGAGAGATGGTCACATCAAGAGAATGGAAAAAAACGCTGGGTTTGGTTGACAAGTGGGAGAAGAGCATGCCGCGGCAGAGGGAGAATGTTCAAGAGCTCAGTCAGGAGCTCGATGATTCCGACTCCAGGGTCGCGGGCCTCAAGCTCAAGCTCTCCGAAGAGGCCAAGCGTCCAAGTTCTCATGAACCTCCTCCAGCGGCGGGCGCGCAGCTGGACACCCTCTTGGGCGGCACCTTCACCATCGATTGCGGAGATCTGTTCGAAGTGGGTGATGAGGAATATGACGCGTCGGAAGGAGGTAAGAATGAGCTCCAGCAACGGAAGCAGGAGTTGGAGAAACCCATTGCTGAGACTGCGAAGTCTCTTTTCTCTCAAGCCAAGGACCAGTTCGACAAATTTAAGGCCGAGCATGCGCAGCAGTGCGCGAGGCTTACCAAGGAGAAGCGCAAGGCAGCTGATGGCTCTGATCGGGAGGCAGGCGGCGGCGAAGCAGGCGGCTCAGAGGCTGCGGCCGCAGCCCCAGCCGAGCCCGACGTGATGAAAATTGATGACTCCACGCCCAGCACTGCTCCTGACGTGCGTGCTCGTGCCCGCGATAACAAGTGCAAGTTAGAACAGGCAGGGGCCCCCGATGGCGCCTCTGCCCAAGGGGGCCCAGTCCCTTCATGAAGTGGGCGCGCAGGACAGACCTGGGCGCCAGCTCGCCAGTCGGGCCCCAGCGCCCAAGGGTCAGACGTCTTCGGCGCCGCTTGCAGCTTCGAGGGCTACGAGTGGATCGATTTCGGCCGCGGGATCTGGCGCCGGGGCAAAGGCCCCCTGGGGCGCCAGCAGCGACGCCGCCGCCGCGGAGGCTCCGGCGTCCTGGGGGCCCGCCGCCGCCGCGCCTCTGGTGCCTGGGGGGCGGGGGGGGCAGCCACATGTTCGACGCAGAGTGGCGCGGGCCCCTCCATTGACCAGCGTGAGCGCCGCCGCCGCGGGGGCCCCAGCAGCCTGGGGACCCGCCGCCGGCGCGCCGCTGAGTCCAGGAGGGGCCCAGCCACATGTTGGACCCAGAAATTCTCATTCGGATTCGCTGCCGAACCCACTCATCGGCCTCCGTTGGTGTTCTGTGCGTAGACAATCCGAGTGCGCGTGCGCGCGTGCGCGCGCGGCGCATATCAGGCACCCCTGCTGTCGTACCCCAGTCGGGACTTCGAGGCTCAGGTCTTGGGCCATCTTGAAACCATCCTGGGCCGTCCTGGAGGCTTCTTGGGCGGACTCGGGGGGGCATCGTGGACCCTCTTGGGTCGTCTTGGAGGCCATCTTGGACCATCTTGGGGTAACTTGGAGGCCATCTTGGGCCATCTTGGCCCTCTTGGAGGCCATCATGGGCCGTCTTAGGTATTTTGTTTCGAGCGTTGTGCTCGTTTCTGGTCCCTTCCAGGTGGCTGGCGGGTCGCGCCGAAACCCAGGGGAGAGCGCTTTCGGAAAAGGGATCAAAACCAAACCAATAGGATCTATTACGCTGGGCACCCCTGTGGCGAGACCACAGGAGCGGCGGATTTTGTTCTGCTTCTCATACACGCGCGCGCTGCGGAACACACAGGCGCTTGCCCTGCTCTGTAGCGCATCACTCCTACTCCCAGTATCCTCCGCGGGAAAGTGGTGGAGTGGGACATACGGAGCAAAGGGACGAAAAGGGAGGAGGGGGACGGCGAGGCGGATATGGGGGGGGAGTGGAGGAGACGGGGGGGGGCACTGGACACTGCGCCTGTTCGCTCCGCGGGAAAAGAATTGGGGTGCGGAAGGGGAAGAGGAACAGGGACGGTGGAGTAAAGGCAGGGAATCCCCAAAATCCGCGAAGGCTTCCCGAAGGTTGACGCAGGAGGACTCGCTGCTCCGTCTCCCCAAACCCTCCAAACAACAAATCCAACAAGATCACCGAAAACCCTTTCCCCCCCTGTCATGGGCGGGGGGGGGGACAGGTTTGGGGTAGGCTTCCGTGAACCCCACCCACCCCCGCAAATCCTGCGTGTCTTCGCCCCCCTCTTTTATCACCTTCTCGGGCCCCCGCCCCTCCTCCCTCCTCGCTCGTCCCTCCTTCCCTCCGTCCTCGCCCCGGCTATGCCTCTCCCCCACCCTTTCCCCGGTCTCCCCCGCCCTGCCTTCCGTCCGGACACCCGCCGTTCATCCTCTCCGCCGTCGTCGTCGTCGTCCCCCTTTTCCTTCTCCTCGCGCCGCTCTGCTTATTGTGAACGTTCCGTGACCCCTCAGGGGGCTTCAGCGCTGATCCGCGACGCGCGGGCCCCCGAAAACTCATGATGTTTACGTCATCGCTTTTTCCCCCGACCCTCCGTGGCTTCCCCCGTCACTAAGAAGGGGCCCAGGGACATTCAGACACATAGGCGCAAATCCTCGTATTCCTGATTTTTGTCTTCGTTTTCTGGACGTTCGTCTTCCCCTCGACTTCAAAGAGGGCCAACGCCTGGCCCCAAAGAGGCTTCCCAACAACCGCCGAACATTTCAAACGAACGCCGAACATCTCCTCATCCTCGTCACGTTCCTCCTTTTCCCCCCCCCTCTTCCCCTTCCCGCTCCCTCCTGCTCCTCCTCATCATCAGCATCCTGCTCCTCCTGCCCCCCCCACCCCCCACCCCCTCCACCTCATCATGATCCTCCTCCTCCTCCTCCTCCTCCTCCTCCTCCTCCTCCTCCTCCTCCTCCTCCTCCTCCTCCTCTTCCTCATCACCATCATCATCATCATCATCATCATCATCATCATCATCATCATCCTACTCCGTCGCCTTCCCCTCCCAATCCTCATCATCCTCACCGCTCGCCGTCGTCGCCGGTCATGACCGCCATCGCGCCCTCCCGGCAGCAACGGAAGCGCCCCGGATCGGCGGCACTGGCCGGGGGCCACTACAATAAACACACAACCTCTTTTTCTTAACGTTTGTCGATGTTTTCTGGACTTTCGTCTTCCCTCCACTTCCCATGTTTTCATTTTCTCTTGATATCGATATTTAATTGTGGCTGTGCTGTTTTTTTTTTCCAAAAAACCCACGTCCTCCCGGCTCCGCCCAGGCCTCGCGTCGTCGCCGCGCCCCCTGCCCGACTTCTCGGCGGGAGCGCCGCCGGCGGCCGCCTGGCAGACGCGCGCCCGAGGAGGGGGGGGGCGAGAAGGGCGATGGAGGCACTCTCGCGTCGTTCGCGGAAAGGTGCGACCTTGCATTCTCTCGCAGTCGCCTGCATTATGGCACACGTCCTCCTCCCTGGCGCGAGGCGAACTTGAACGGCGAAATTGCAACGTTTTAACATCATTCCTCCTCTTCGTCTTCTTCCTTGAGGAGGAGGAGGAGGAGGAGGAGGAGGAAATGAACAAGGAACCTGTTTTCTTTTGAAACACATGAGCGATAAGGGGCGTGATCGGGAGAGGAGGGGGGGGAATTCGCCCCCCCGATCACATCACGGCGTGGGCCGGAAATCTGAAGAAAACCTTGAAGAATCCGTAAGATTTGTTTGCAAACGTGGGCAAAATAGCGCGACGTGATGAAGGGGGTGGAGAGGTCAGATCACGGCCGCCATCGTCCAGACCGCGCAATTACTCCGAAGGTAAGACCCTACCTGAGAATCTGTTTAGCTCACGCTGCGCGCCGCGGCGCCCAGTCGGGAGGCAGCGCGAAGCCTAGCTCCGCGGCGAGCTGCTCGGCCTCATCCCTGGAGGTCTTCGATTCCTCATCGAACTCCTTGAGCGCCCCCCGCAATGGCGCCGGCGTCCCGCGCCCCAGAAACTCGCGCGAAGGCGGCCGCAGGGTCAGCATGTTCCGCGCGCAAGTGGCGCGACAGTGCATGACGTAGAGGCGCAGCCACCACTGGTCGTCCGACGTGCCCGCGCGGCCAGCGCCCTCGTCCCTCGCGCAATCGATGGCGACGCCCTTGCGAAGCGCCTGGCCCTGCGACAGCGCGGAAGCGAGGTGGGGCGCGTGAATCGAGGTGAACCCCGAGCGGCGCACAGTGCGCAGCCCCGAGCTCTGCCGGGCGAGCTCCTGCTCGCTGGGCCTGAACATCAGCAAGCTCCATGCCCGCGCCTCGGCCTGGCCGTCGTCGTCGGTGTCTTCGGCGCCCTGTCGCAGCACCTCGGCGACCTCCCCGTAGATTGGAGACTCCTTGAAGCCGTGCACCTGCGGCCAGATTCCCTGCGGTAGGAGCTGGGGGCGAAAGAGCTGGCCTGCCGAGCATTACGCGTGCCGCTGCTCGTCCTCGCGGTGGAATTCGAAGAACACGATGGTGGCCCGTTGCTCCCGCGCGAGCCCCATCTTCTTTTTTTTTCAGCTCTTCCTGCGCTGCCGTGACTCGCACCTCCATGCCGACTTGGGCCGGCAAGACGCCGTGGATGTCCCCCGTCTTGCGCGTGTTCGGGGCGTTTAGGAGGCGCTGGCCCGCGTCGGGATCGCCCTGAATCGCGCTGCACTCGTCAACGTCCTGCAAGCAAACGACGGGCACGCCAAGGCGCTGCGCGTCGCAACGAGCGCGCGCGTTGATCCACCTCGCCAGCGTCTGCCAGTAGATGCCCATGCCGTTGCCGAAACGAAATCTCTCGCGCTGGCGCCGAGGGCCCAGGTCGCCGCGGCTGTCCGACGCCAGCGTCTTTTTCCCAGGCGGGCCAGACATCCCGTTGAAGTGCTTGCCCTCGCGCGTGCAGCCCAGCAACGTGATCAGATGGCCCCTGGGCTCGAAGCGCCTCGTGTCCTTCGGCGCGAAGACGCAGGGGATCTGAGACTTCCTCGCAATTCACTCACAAACGAGGCCCCCGCCTGATACTTCCTCCATCTTCACCCCGGCAGGGGCCCGAAAGAGACAACAGTCCCACGGTTGGGACGACCAGCTCGGATCATTAACATCAGGCGCGGACCCCATAGGGAGGAGGCCCCCGCCTGAAACCTCCTCGCAATTCACTCACAGACGAGGCCCCCGCCTGATTCGTCCTCCATATTCAGGCCTCAGCACCCCAAAAGAGACGACAGATACAGGGTCCCCTGACCCGCTCGGATTAAAAAGACGAAGTGCGGGCCCCATAGAGAGAGAGGGCTCCCGCCTGAAGCATTCAGGCCTCAACGCCCCAAAAGTGACGACAGATACAGGGTTCCGATGACCCGCTCGGATTATAAAGATGATGTGCGGGCCCCATAGGGAGAGGGTTCCCGCCTGAGACTTCCTCGCAATTCACTCACAGACGAGGCCCCCGCCTGATGCTTCCCCCATATTCAAGCCTCAGGAGCCCAAAGGTGACGACAATTACAGGATCCCCATGGCCTGCTCGGATGAGAAAGATGATGTGCGGGCCTCATAAGGAGAAGGGTTCCCGCCTGAGACGTCGCCGCAATTCAGTCACACACGAGGCTCCCGCTCGAGACGTCCCCCATATTCGAGCTAGGGAGTGAGTGGTGACGAAGTGATGAGTGAACGAGTGGTGAGGATGATGATGCTGATGATGATGAGTGGTGATGGTCATGAGTGGCTGAATGATGATGAGGTTGATAAAGATGAAGATGGTTATGGTGATGATTGATCGAATGATGAGGATGTTGCTGCTAATGCTGATGATAATGGTGTGAGTGATGATGATGATGGTGATGATTGTGATGATGATGCTGAATGGTTGTGATGATGATGATGATGGTGGCAATGCTGAGGATGTTGATGAGTAGGGACGATGAGTGGCGATGACGACGATGACGACGATGATGGTGAGTGAAGGGGAAAGGGGTGGGAGGTGAGGTGAGGTTTCTGCGCGAAGTGTCCAGAGAAAACAAGAACCCCACTTTGGATGTGGGGAAACACAGGCTCAAGGAGAGGGAGGAGGAGAGGCGTCGAGAAAGGCGGAGGAAGAGGTGCTCCTCGCCTCCGTCACGCCCTCCTCCCCCACCACCTCCGCGCACTCCTCCCTCGCCATCCCCAAACTCCTCCCTCGTGGCGCCTCCAACTCGTCGGGTTGTTCCTTCACTTCGTCCTCGTGCTCCTCCACCTCCGTAGTGAAAACCCAGCGGGGTGAGTTTGTCTCAACTGCTGTTTCAAGCAGCGCTACAGTAGCACCTGAGCCGCAATTGCACCCCTGGATGACATGAGACCCCCAGTCGGCCAAAACAACATCCAAGGGTACCCACCCAAGGATGCACAAGACCACCCAACAAACGCGAATAACATTAGGGCACCCTCCCCGAGCCGACCTCGATCCTACACCGCGGCCCGGCTGTTTGCGCACGCGCTGTTAAAACTTTGCACGGGCCCCCGGGCCGCGCGAGATCTGGGCCCATTTCGGCGCGCCATTCCCATGCTTCGCGTCCGTGGTGCGTTCGCACGTCGATGCCCCGTAAATTGCGGCATGCCCTTCGCACGCGGATCGCCCCCCTCGGGCGCGCCAGAAGTCCCGACCCTTTTTCCCAGGGCAAGTTTCTCATCGCGAGTGCGTCTTTGGCGGCCCTGGGGCTTGGCGAGGGCCCCCGCAGGCCGACGAGCCTCAAAAACCGTCGATCCGGATTCCTTCGCGACGCTGATGATGATGACGACGATGAAGATGATGGAGCCCCCGAGGGCCAGAGGTTTCCATGAGGGGCAAACGCTCACCCTATAGACTTGCCGCGCCCGCCAGATGATGGCGGGTGCCATGTGGCGAGCGCGAGGTGCCTCCCCGTCGCCGGCATGAGGTTCTTGAAGGGGGCGGCCCACAACGCAATGTCCTTGGTGCGCTCGGGCAGAAGGAGCAGGTGAGTGAGGGGTTGCGGACTTTGCACTTCCTGGGTTCTAATGGGGCCAGAATTCGCCAGCCTCTTCAATGTAGCCGACGTACCTGTCAATGCATCCATCATTGGGCCATGCGTCGGGGTCATTGGCCTGGAGTTGGCTCGGGCAACTCCGTGGGGGTGGCGCTCATGTCCAACAAAAACCTTAGTGAAATCAACTCCGATACGGCGTGTTTGCGATTCTCCAGAGACGTCTCCTGGTCGAGAAGAAGCTGCGAGACTAGTGCACAATCACCTTGACATGACCTTCATCGCTGCCCACTTCCCGCCTCGCCCGAAGGGCAGTGCAGCTTCAAGACGCTGGAGACAAACAGTACGCACTCTAGCTGAATGAATATATTCGGTATTGATGGAAATACCGGTCATATCTACACCAATCATCATGATGGACCTTGAATGGTGATTTTTCGTGGCAGGGTTCTGAGTTGTCCGATTGGTGAGGCGTCGTCTTTACGCGGGGAGATACGTGCGGAGCAATTTCTTACGGTGGCAAACAACACAGTTTGAGCATGCGCCAACGTTCTACGGCAACAGCAACACCTCGAACATAAACAGCATTTGTGTACCGTCGACGGCTGGCGCAAAGCTCCAAGCAGCTCAGACCCGGCAGCGATCTGGACGACGATTACACGTTATACCTGGTTCTGTTCCCAGAGATCACATTCCCTCGGTTCTGAAGTTTCATTACGAGTTAGCAGTGTTGAAGCCGAGACCCCAGGCGCGAGCTTGGAACCTAGATGCGGTTGCGAACTGCGTCCAGAAAAGGTTTTTCAGAAGGATGAGTTTCTCGAGGAAATCCGAAACGCCTTGGAAACGCAGCCCGAAGATTTCAGCAGACTCCAGGAGGCCCCGACCATGGACAGACACCGGAAGCGCTTGCGTGAATTGGCGGCGCCCGCGGCGCATAATTTTCTCGGCAGGGCCCCGCCGGACACGCAGGAAGCCATTGGAAGAAACGCCGTCGTCAGCTCCTGGCCGAACTCAACACGCAAAAATGAAGCAGCACAGCAGTGGAGCTCTGAGGAGCAACTGGAGAGGATTGAGGAGATAAAGCATCTGAGCGAGCAGATCGGGAAAACGTCAAGAACATCATAAGGAGTGGAACGCGGCGCGAGCCAGGAGGCGGCTGACGCGTGGAACCAGAATGATCATGCACTTGTCGCTCGCCTTTGCCGCCAGCTTGCAGGCGCTCAGATGTTAGCCCCCAAAAAAGGTTCTGGAATGTGGTCAATGGTGCTAGAGCAACGTGCACCGAATGGAAGGGCACACTCCCTTTGGCAGGCCCTGTGGGCGGCGTCGCTGCACGCTCAATCAATTCCACGCGTCGCGAGAACGTGCAAGAGTTTGTTGCGACGGCTTTGCCTTTTGCAAGTGGTGGCGCTGAAGTGCGCGCTCTTCTTGATTCTGAAGCGCGCCCACAGAGAGCTTATACGGCGTCGTCGAGGCGGGCGGCGCCGCCCTGGAGCGCGCCCGCGGAACTGTGGCAAGTCTTGGCGACGCCGAAGCCACGGCCCCCTATCGGATGGGATTCGGTTCCCAGCCACGCAGAGACGGGGAAGAGGAGATCAGCACGAGCGCGCAGTACATCCAGAAGCTACTCGCACGTGTCAGGCACGCACAAGGGGCATCAGTGGTAGGACGCAGATCATGCATGCGGCAACTAGACAATCATCATGGAGTCTCGACGACACGTGGTCTCACGCATAATCATGGTTGCTGCCCTTACTGGCGTCGTTCTCATCGCGGCTTGCGCCGGGCTCGCACCGCTCCGCCTGCCTCGCGACGCCCGCGGCGGTCGAGCCCGCTTTCGCCGAGAGGCGGCCATGCTGAGCTCCCACATACTTTCGCGGCGCCCACGCAGGCGCGGCGTCTCTTTCTCGGCGGCGCCCCACGACGCGACCGCTGCGTTCCCGTCGTCCAGGCGCGGCGTGATCAGACAGAACAATCACGCTGCACTTAGACGTCCGCGCGCTCTTCTACTTGACCGCGGACGTAAACGCATGGCAGCGCATGCCGATGCGCTGGATGGGGAGGTGGATATGCATGCGCGGGCTGGACGATTCATGGGAGATGGGAACGCGCCGGAAGAGCCCATGGAGGTTTTTCAAATACCGATGGACAAGTGGCGCCCAACTACACAGGGCACCATGGACCAGGTAGGTGATGGTGACGTACCCCGTGTTCCCAAAAGGATAACACGCGCCCATCAACGTTCTTAGATCAGATCCTGCAGTTGCACGCGCATACCCGCCCGACGGTTGCTTGTTGTGCCGCTCAACTTCGACGCGCCAATGATGCGCTGGACGAAGCACTTACGCCCGTGGGGTACTCGTATAACCGTGACAAGCAAGAGGCCACCCCATGTCTTTGGTCTGCGCAGAAAAACCGTCTCGTGTTCAAACAGACTGGCATTGGGGGAAATGTGCCCGAGATGAAATACTTGGGGGCGACGTTCGACCCGTCGGGATCCACTGTGTCTGAAAGGAAGGCCAGGGTTACAGCCTCGCGGATGAATTGGTCGCAGTTGCATGGGGTTTGGTCTACCCGCATTCCAAAAGATGCAAAGAGGGCGGCCTGCATCTCGAGGGCCCAGGGGGCAGCGTTATCAGGGGTGACCCCTTGAGTACTTCAGAGCGTTGATTATCGAGCTCTAGATATACCTATCTTGGAACATCTCAGGGCGATGGCGCAGGGGGGGGGGGGGGGAGGGCAAGAGGGGCGCGGATGCCCGCCCGCGTTCGCACCGTCGCAAACCTTGAGGTCTGGAACATTGGGGGCATCAGCCCGTCCGCCTTAGAGCTACGAGTCCGTCGCTCACGCTAGCTGCAGGCGATGCACGAGCTTCCCGTTTCGGCGCTGTTCGGCGCCATGCAGCGCGGGGCGGACCGCGGGTTCGCCGCGGCGCTGACCCTGGGCGGCCGAGCGCGTCATTCCGCCAACCCTTGGGCAAACATGTTCGGGGCTGGCGCGCGCGCTCTTTTGGAAGGCTCGGGATGAGAGCCCTTCAGACGCATCTGGGACCGAAGTGTGTTTTCGCATTTTTTCCGGGGCGGCGAAGTCGGGCGAGCCTCTTGCGTCCTGGATCCAACGGATCTTCGAACCACATTCTGGTCCTCGTCAGATGCCCCACCCGGATGCGACGCGCTTGGCCCTGGACCCGTTCTCGATGCTGGAACCTCTTTGGACCCTAAGTATGAATGCGTTCTGCTGTTGGGGTCAGGCTGTAAATGCGGCGCACGCTTCGCGACGTGCAAGAGCCCCCGCGCCCGCCAGTTGAAATCCCATGGACTTCGAAAAACCGCTCGGGATCGCGATCGCGACTAACAGCTGTCTCGCGCGCAGCTAGACGTTCAAATCCGCGGCGCGTGCGAAACAACAGCTTCAATATGCATGGTTCATTATCGATGTTATGATGATCGGTCCTCTGTGGAAATGCCAGCTCGACAACGCGCTGAGCTAACGTGCCCGCTCTGCCGCATGGACCCCTTGCCGCGCTTGGCTTAACTTCAGAAATTCATCTGTCAACGCCTTCCACTTTTGATCTCTCACGATTTAGACTTGCGCTATGAGTCGGCTGGCAGATGCGGCGCCGCCGGCGGCGCCGGGCCAGCCCGAGATGAAAGAGCAACGTCGAAGCGGCCCGCGAGTTCCAGAACAGCAGGGGCCCAAGGTGGACATCGCCACCACCCGGGGTCCGACGGCGAAGCTCGCGCGCTGGGACTGGCGACGAAGCAGGTCGGGAAAATACGCAAGACATAGGTAAGGTCAAGCCGGCGGTGATGGGCGCGCCCAGGCGCAAGAAGACGGCGCCCCTCGTTCTGGCCTTGAAAGAGCAGCATAACAAGTACGTGGACGTCGCACAGGCCCAAGAGATGACCACGTCACCTGCACCCTACAAGGCGTGCGTCATGAGACGGACCCTCAAGGAGGCCGACATGGGCGTGGCCAACAAAAAGGCCCTAGAGGAGCTCGACCAGAAGATGCAGCGCCTGGGGATCGAGGAGCTGAAGATGGAATTCCACGCGATTGCGATCGAGAAGGCCTTCGACAGCGACATGCGCAAGCTGAACATCGTGATGCGCTTGAGCCCCCATCCCTGAAGCAGCTGGAGTTTCTCCACTCGTACGTGCCCGCGTCGGGGCGGCCCACAATTGGGAGGCGACATCAGGATGGGGAGGAGCGTCTCGCCAGTGTGCACTCATTCAAGGACGATGGGATTCTCACTATTGAGATACCTCGACAGAGTTGTAAGCACGAAGTTCCAGGCACTGCCCGTTCATTCTCTGGCAGAGATGGTACTCAGTGTGCGATGACTGATGCTGGCAGAGCGTGTACTCAACACTTGGTTACTGATGCTGGACAACCCGACAATACTCAATACTTGATTACTGACGCCGGCAGAGATGGTTTTCAACCGTTGTTTACTGATGAGGAAAGACCTGATAATACTCAACACTTGATTACTGATGTGGGCAGCGGCAGGTACTCAACACTTGATGATTGATGCTGGGCGGAGTGGCAAAGCGTGTACCCAACGGTTGATTACACTGATGCTGACATGGGTATTCAACCGATCATGACTACTGCTGCTGGCGATGGTGTGATGACTGATGCTGGCGCAAATTACTTTTTGCTGGTGTGGTATTTGAGATGTGTCAACTACCTGGTGGCCACCCTGCAGGCCCGGAGAAAAAAAGGCCAGGCGTGCTCCCCCGATTCCCGTCCCGCGCTCTCCGAGCCCTGAACCCTACTCTGAGCCCGTCCCACCGTCTCAATTTGTCTGTCCCCGTGTTGCTCCGCTCCCGAAGCCCACCCCCCGCCCCAAGTACAAGAAAGAACAAGAGCGAACGCTCAGGTTCCATCATAGTAGGATGGGGTGGGTGTGGGACGGAGGAGGAAGGATGCAGCGATAGGCCTCTCCCCCCTTGTCGTCCTCGTCGTGTCGCCGTCGCGTTCCGCCCGCCGTCGCCGTCTCTCCTCGTTTGTCGTGTCGTTCTCGACTTCGCCGTCCGTTTCAATTTCCCGTCGCCCGCTGCCGTCAGGGAGGACAGGCCTCCTGGCGTCGCGAATCGACGATGTGCAGGCCCGCCCTCCGATGGTGGGGGGGGGCTACCTGGGGGGTGAAAATCAAGGCCGTAGCGCTCATCGCTTGGATGGCATCAGGGATCAACAGTGCAAGTTTTAGACATCTGGCTTGTTTTACCCCCCGCATTGTAGGCTACAGGAACCTGCTTGGTCATAACCTGCGATAGATGGATAAATCATGGTGGTGATGATGATGACAATGATGATGATGATAAAGATAAAGATGAAGATGAAGATGAATATGAAGATGAAGATGAAGATGAAGATGAAGATGAAGATGAAGATGATGATGATGATGATGATGATGATGATGATGATGATGATGATGATGATGATGATGATGATGATGATGATGATGATGATGATGATGATGATGGATTCACTGTTCCTGCTGCTCCTCCTCCTCCCCCTCCTCCTCCTCCTCCTCCTCCTCCTCCTCATACCCCTCCTCCTCCTCCTCCTCCTCCTGCTCCTTCTCCTCATCCTCCTCAACCCCGTCCTCCTCCTCCTCCTCCTCCTCCTCCTCCTCCTCCTCCTCCTCTCCTTCCCCCTCCTTGGGCCCCTCTGCGATGCGGAGTCTTTCACGACGCGATCACGTCTGGGCCACACCCCACTCGGCCCACCCGTAGCTCCGCCCACCGCCCCAGCGGGTGCGTTCTGATGCCGCACCCCGCAGAATTGACGCCTCTTCGAGCGGAGTTCGTGCCCCGCACGGGACTGCGCGGCGCGCCACTGCGCGCCTGCTCCACAGAAAGAGACAGAGAGAGAGAGCCCACTTGGGCGGCGCGCAGAGGGGGGTAGGGGGAGGGAGGAAGGCTTCCTAGAATGGGGGCTGTTTCTTAGAAGGCGCCGGCCTGACATGTATAGAGAAGGCTCGCGCCTTCTCAGAAGCAGGGGTGCTTCTAAGAAGCCTTCCCCCCTCCCCCTACCCCCCTCTGCGCGTGGCCGACCATTGCCCGCACTGTCCCCGCGCAACGCTGTGCTGCGCCGAACTGCGGCCCAGGCCCTCTGGCAAGCGAGGACAAGACGAAGCCAAGACGGGGCGAAACGTCGGGTGTGGATGAATCGAAAAATTCTGAGATCCGGCGGCTCTGGAGTATGTCTCGGGCGCCGCGGCCTTCTCGGAGCGTTCCGGAGCGCTCTGAGAGCGTTCCGGAACGCTCTGGAGCAGACTTTCACTGACGTCGAGCATGGCCAGTAGCGGCCATATCCAGCGCCATGTGAGGAGATCTGGAAGCCGCTGCCCTCTGGCGACGAAGGCGATAGCGCAACGGCCCTTGGATTACTGGAACTGGGATAACATTCCCCAATCAGAGCTTGCCTCTGTAGGGGTCCTAGCGGATTAAAGGCTTAGGTGAGAGGTGCGGCCGATTTCGGTGGCCGGGCCCGGGTGCCCGGGGGTGCCCGGGTGCGCAGTGGTGCCCAGCGGTGCCCGGGTGGCCGGTGAGGTGCGTGGCCGATTTCGGTGGCCGGGCCCGGGTGCCCGGGTGCCCGGGTGCCCAGGGGTGCCCGGGTGCCCGGAAGTGCCCAATAGCCCAATAGCCCAATAGCCCAGTAGCCCTATAGCCCTATAGCCCTATACCCCTATAGCCGTATAGCCGTATAGCCCTGTAGCCCTATAGCCCTATATCCCTATAGCCCTAATAGCCTTATATCCTTATAGCCATATATCCCTATAGCCCTATAGCCCTCATAGCTATATTGCCTTATATCCCTATAGCCCTAATAGCCTGAAAACAATACGATTGGGGTTTTCTCCGGCATCATAAATCTGTATAACATATATACGTAGCACCCCGCAATTGCGGATAAGAGTGAGGGGGCGGGCGCGGGCGACGCGGGCGTCGTCGAGCCGGCGGACCTCGTGGCCCCCACCTTCCCTGTCGATGGCGCTCTCCTCCTCCTCCTCCTCCTCCTCCTCCTCCTCCTCCTCCTCCTCCTCCTCCTCTTCCTCGTCCTCGTCCTCGTCGTCATCGTCATCGTCATCCTCCTCCTCCACCTCGTCCTCCTCCTCTCTTCCTCGTCCTCCCTCTCCCCCCCTCGTCCTTCCATCATCGTCCTCCCATTGTCGTCCACCCCCTCATCGGCCTCCATCATCGTCCTCCCATTGTCGTCATCATCATCATCATCATCATCATCATCATCATCATCATCATCATCATCATCATCATCATCATCATCATCCCCCTCCTCCCCCTCCTCGTCCTCCTCCTCCCCCTCCTCCCCCTCCTCGTCCTCCTGCTCCTCCTCCTTTTCTTTCTCCACATTCTCCTTACATCCTCTCTTCTTTCGCGTCCTCCTCGTCCCCTGTTTACTCCTCCTGCCTCCCCCTCCTTTCCCAAGATAACGGCAACGCAATCCTTTTTTCCACTTTATGCTCCCCGACTTCTCTGATCAAGGCAACTCGCCAGGGCAAAGTTGCTGGACGGGCTGGTGTGGATGCGCGGGGCTTGAAGAGGTCCTTGCGGGCTCAGACGGCATGCAAAAATCCGCCGCCGCGCTTGTGCGGCATTGGTTTGTTCAGTGAACGTGGTTTGGGTCGCGGGTGGGTCGCGGGCTCTCCACCTCCACCTGGAAGGAATGCAAAAGCAGCCCGCCGCAGGCGCCGAAAAAATTGGTTTGTACACTGAACGTGGAATGGGTCGCGGGTGGGCCGCGGGTTCTCCACCGGGAACGAATGCAAAAGATGCCCGCCGCAGGCGCCGAAAAAATTGGTGTACCCTGAACGTGGTCGCGGGTGGGCCGCGGGCTCTCCACCTGAAACGAATGCAAAAGATGCCCGCCGCAGGCGCCGAAAAATGTGGTTTGTACCCTGAACGTGGTTTGGGTCGCGGGTTGGTCGCGAGTTGGTCGCGGGGTGGGTCGCGGGCTCTCCACCTGGAAGGAATGCAAAAAAAGCCCGCCGCAGGCGCCGAAAATGGTGGTTTGTACCTTGAACGTGGTTTGGGTCGAAGGTGGGTCGCGGGTGGGTCGCGGGGTGGGTCGCGGGTGGGTCGCGGGTGGGTCGCGGGTGGGTCGCGGGTGGGTCGCGGGGTGGGTCGTCGCGGGTGGGCGGGTGGGTCGCGGGCGGGTCGTGGGGTGGGTCGCGCGGGGTGGGTCGCGGGGTGGGTCGCGGGGTGGGTCGCGGGGTGGGTCGCGGGTGGGTCGCGGGTGGGTCGCGGGTGGGTCGGGTGGGTCGCGGGTGGGTCGCGGGGTGGGTCGCGGGGTGGGTCGCGGGGCGGGTGGGTCGGGTGGGACGACGACGACAACAAACAACAACAAACAACAACGAGAATCCGCACCACGGAATCCCACTTCAGCCACGCACCCAGGGACAGTAAATGACCGTTCGGCCCCCTCACTCTGATATATATATATATATATATATATATATATATATATTCATCTATCTGTATATATAAACATATCTGTGTATATATATATGTATGTATATACAGATATAGATATAAATATGTGTACATATATATATACACATCTAGATATATAACATATATACCGCTGCCCTGGCAGATTATTCATGTGGCGCGGAACGCCAGGCCGAGGAGAGAGGCCAGAGGAGGGAGGAGAGAGGAGGATGGTCGATGGACAGAATACACCAGAGGGAATGCAAAAATGCGCAACAGGAAGGGCTGGGGAGGGAGCGACGAGAAGAACGATGGAGGAGCATGACCAGGAGCTGGAGGAGAACGAGAACGACAACAGGGCCACCGACGCAGACGAGGAGCCCAATGGGACTCGATGTACTCGTGTTCTCTCGCGACTGTCTCCGGTGCTGGCCCGATCTGCGCTCGCCGCTTGGACTGCACTGGGCCTAAGCTGTAAGCTGTCTGGTGATTCGGGAGAATCGCGTCCTCTCCCGACCACGGAGAGCTCGGCCTTGTCACCGCCGTCCTCCTCTGGCCTCCTCCCCCTCCCGATGCGCAGGCGTTGCCTTCTTCTTCTTCTTCGACCTGCTCTGCCCCGTCTTGGCCCGCAAGTCTACCGCAGTCTCCCAGTCTGCTCGCCCCACTCGTAGGCACCACGGGCGTGTGCCTAGCAGCCAGGGTCGCCCCAAGACAGCGCAAGAGGCTCCCAAGAGGGCCCCAAGAGGGCTCCAGATCCCCCCAGGAATGGCCCAGGAGAGGGAACCCGAATTGAGTTTTTGAGCCCCCCAAACGGTGCCTCCGAGACTGCCAGAATGCCTCCAGGAGGCCTCCAGAGGCCCCTAAGAACCCCACCGAAAAAGACACCAAGATGCTCCCCCCAAAGGCCCCACGATGCCCCAAAATGCCCGAACAAGAACGCAAGCACGTTCCAGATGGGTTGGCGGAGTGGGCGCAACGACTGAATCCCAAATTCCCCCCATCCGTCGAACAGACCGTAAACTGGCGGATACCTGGGGAGGCTCAACTCCCTGGCGGGTGACGGGCAGCATGTCCTCCAGTGAATGCGCCATTCTGGCGGAGATCGTGCCATGTGGGGAGAGACAAATCAGGCCCCCCTCGAACAAACAACATGCCCACGAATCGCTCGGGAAGTACGGGAGGTTCGCGTCGTGACGACCCTGGCGTTGGTTTCTGACACCGCGTGGATCGTTCAACCTTAAACGATCGGCCGTTCCCGCAACGTCCAATCGTTCAACATCGACCGATTCTGGGTCGCCGCCGGCGTTCAACCTTGAACGCCCGCGCTGGGGTCGCCGCTGGTCGACACGACGCGAACCTGCCGTAATGGATGCCGCTTCCCATATTCACTCGTTCCGGCTCTGCGCCTCTGCCCGTGCCCCCGATGCCTCCTGAACTGGCACGGGCTGAAATGACCCCCCTCCCCGCTCCAAAACACAGAGCGGGGTGCCCACTTCCCGCCAGCCCTCTTCTTCCTCTCACGTATCGCTTCGTTCGTTCCTCCGTGTTCCCCCCCTCCCCCTCCCCCCACAAACAAGGAGCACATCCCTCCCCCTCCTCCGTCCCTCCACCTCCCCCTCCCCCTCCCCCTCCTCCGTCCCCCCCCCCCCCCCTCCCCAGAGCAGCCATGAACACCCTGGAACCATCGAGCCCGTTTGACCCCCTCCCCAAACGAATGATCACCAATCCTCTCTGGAACCTGGATGTGCCCTCCACTCCCTTCGTGCACGTCCTCCGCCTCTTCCTCCTCGCAGCATGTCTGGCCATGGCCCCCAGTCCGAGGGCGGCGGAGATCCGTCAGGCCGGCGAGCTACTTCATCGTGAGGGCCAAGAACATGGCCTCCACACGGCGGGGGCATCAACGCGAGAGTGGAGCACGGGAGGAGAAATGATGACGAGGAGAACGGGGAGGAGGAGGAAAATGGTGTGAGGGGGCGGGTGGGAGAAGGACGTGGCGGAGGGAGAGGAGAAGGGGTACATCATTCAGACGGAGGGGGGTGACGATGAGGAGGAGCATTATACATGCCAGCGTCAAAAAGCAGAAGACTGGCTTATCGCACTCTCGCGCTCTCCGTGGTGCCCACCCCGCAGAACTGGACGTCGTCGACGCCACTACTCGCGCAATCATACCACCCTCCCACCTAGAAACTGTTTTGCGAGACACATGCGGCCGCCATTGTGGTGACCACTCGACACTGGCTGGCGCATCTCTGCGGCTGCGCTAGCGCGCAGGCTCGCGCACAGAGCCGCCAACTGGTTGGGCACAAACGCCGCGTCCGCGTCTGCGCTTACCGATGGGAAATTCCCAACGCGTCTCAAAGGTAACACTGGCACGCGGGCGCTTCAGTGCGGGTCGGCGACTCGGGCGTGCGCGGTGTCATGATGACGTCGGCAAAGGCGGCACAGATGATTATAGTAGCGATGGTGGTGGCGATGATGTCGAAGACGACGGCGAGGCCAATGACGGCGCCGATGCTGGTGACGACAATGACGATGATAATGTCCACGTGTCGGTGGTGAAGGTGATTGACTGATAGTGCTGGCAGCGTCAGACATTGGCGGGCGATGTCGATAGCGGCGGTGATGCGGTGGCGCTGATGAAGCTAATGGTGAGGAAATGCGTTCGCGGAACTGCCAGAAACCTGGAACGACCTGTAGTTGAAACGCAGTTGATGCTTCGCGTGGCGGCGCGTGCGTGTGGTCAACATGGTACATCTGTACATAAGCCCCACGCCTTCTAAGAAGCAGGGGTGCTTCTGAGGAGCCCTCCCCCCTCCCCCTCAGCCCCCCCCTCTGCGCGTGGCTGAGGCCATCATCGGGCGTTCGGAAACCTGGCCCTTGCAGCGCCAGCCGGCGCACGAAGCAGCCACGGGGCGGCGACGGGCCCCCTCCGGGCGAAAGAGCAGCAAAACTCTCGAGAGCGCCAGCCCATCCCAGAGCAGCGCAGGCAAGAAGCCCTTGGTGCAGGCATCGCGTGGGGAGTACTAGAGACGGGGAGGAGGAAGGAGGGCAGGACTCGGACGGCCAGGGGAGGAAGAACACCAGCAGGCGGAGCAGCAGCAGCAGCCAGCAGGATGAGGTGGACGAGAAAAACGAGGACGACGAAGCGGATGAGGAGGTGGAGGAGGACTGAGTTCGGTCACGACGGTCACGAGCTGATTGACAGATCAGCCAATTGATCCACTAACTGGTGAACAGAAATAGCTGCGCACAAAAAGAACGATCCCTCGAACAATACAACTGAGAAGAACTACGTATCAGCCGCGCCTTTGCCTCCCAAATCTTGTGGCAACCAACTTACCCTGGAACATGGATAGTGAACGATGTCTTGTGCGGACGACGGCCTAGACAAGCGGGTCGCTCATGTCCACGTGAATCAAGATTACAGTCGGACTTCATTGGACAGGACCCGAGAGGACAAAAGACCCTTCCGAGGGCCACATTTCCATAGGAATGCAAGAATCATGGGTGGGCCGACACAGGACATTAAGGTACCCTTGATTTGGCAGGGTCGACCTACCTATCCGGGCCGACTGTACATGCCGACGCCATTTGCTCCACATATTCTCCTCCGCATGGCAGGCGGAGGAAAGAACGGCGCGTGGAGGGGCCGACTCGTTCCCCGCCCACTTCTCCCAGACGCGGTCCGCGTTGAGGAGGCCACCCTTCGCGTCGAGCCTGTCTGGCTGGTGCTTCCTACACGCCAGCCCACCGAGTGAGCAGATGGGTGTGTCCCATTGCCGCAGTCTCGTGTGCGACCGGCGCTTCGGCCGCACGAGGTCCAAAAAGCCAGTACGTAAACAGAACTGGTGGCCTGGCCGTCGTCGGAGTTCTCTGCCCCTCCATCTTAGGCACACATGCAGCAATATAGTCTCATCTTGAGGTTATGGGGGGTTGGGGGGTCACCGCAAGCCAGTCAGATCAAGGGGCCCCTCCCTCCATTCCTGGCTGGGCGGCCGAGGAGTGGGCAATGGGTTTGAGGGTGGGGAGAGGGGGGGCAAGAACGATTCGACTGCTTCTCCAGAGCAGGGGTTGGTCAGACTGGACTGATCACTCTCGTTCACAAAGGGCCTCCGCCTCGCCAGCCAACCGCCCATATGCTTGTGGTTCAACACACCCGTGGCAATGGCTCTGGCCGCCGGTTCGCCAGAGGTAGATCGGCAAAATCTCATTGACCAGAGACTGCGTGAGGATCCACAAGGCTAGCACAATCGAAATGAGGAGGGGTCTTGGGCTGATGAATCCATGCCTTGGATCAAAAAAGATCGATACCGCTGCTCCTTGGACCTCTCCCGGGGTGTGTTCTGACCCGAATTTCGACGCGACTCCAGCCGTGGCGACGAAGGCCTCCCTCCCAGGAGGTCCAAAATGACGAAAACAGGCAAAAGTAACGGTATTGAATACCTTCTCCGAGATCAAAGAATTGGCTCCCTGGCCACCCTGGGACGCCTTGATCCGTCCGCGCACGAAACCAACATTTACATATGCTGCGCCTCGGCCGATCTGGCCGCGCACCCGTGAACCGTATCCGCCACCGTGCCGTGGTAAGCACGGTAAGCCACCGCCCCGCCATTCTTGTTTTGAGCTCCGCGGCTCGTTTCCGCCAGAGCTCCCCTCTCGAACTCCACCGTGATGAAGCACAGCATGAAGAGGAATCACATCAGCACAACAACATTGGGAGGTGTCGCACTTGCCAGGGGAGACCTTCGTGAGACCACCCCATGAGAGAGCTCCAAAACATCCTTAGGAGCAGAACTGACGTCCGCGATACCATACCGAAAAGCCCCCACAACTCAGACTCGAAAGCGTCCTCAAGAACCCGCACGAAGCCTCCCGACGCTCTCAACAGGCATCCAGGTGGCTCTGCCGGGGTAGGGGGGGGGTCCGGTGGCGTGGGTTCCGGTGGCGTGGGGGGGGGGGTCCGGTCCCCCGTCCCGCCTGCGGACGGGGGGAACTGGGGGAAGAGAGGCCGTGGGGGGGGGGTCTGGTGGCCGGGGTGGCTCTGCCGGGGGTACTTTGATGGGTGTGAAGTTATATGTGGTTATAGTATAGGTAAGTGGTTCTATTTTAGGAGAGGTTTGAATGAGTTAGGATCGGTTAGGAGGCCCAATAGATTCCATAGGAATGCCGATAGTGTAGTCCCCGATAATCACCCCTGTGTTTCACTATAGGATCTATAGGAGCTTACAGTGTCCTATCATCAGCTGAACTTGGAATCCCTAAGCATAAATATGTTTTACTTTTTAAATACTATTTTCGCTAGTTTTTCAATATTTTTTGCTATTTTCATTATTTTCACTATTTATCACTATTTCCCGATATGTTTCACTATTTTTCATTATTGTTCGCTATTTTCCTTATTCTTTACTTTTCAAAATTCAGACATTGAAACAAGTCTGACCGACGCCAGAACGTTGTGCTCCAAGGGAGAAGAAGGAGAAGGAGGAGAGAGGAGGAGGTGTTCTTCTTGGTCGGCTTCTACTACTTGCAGCTCGACATCCTGACGCATGCCGCGCGAGCCGCCGCGGGGGGGATCCCGCTCTTCATCCGCTCGATACCTCCTCTTCCTCCTCTATGATGTGCCTCGTACCTTTCTACAGCGGCCAGACCGCTTCGCATATTTTCTCGTTCTTCCTCCTTTATTCCTGTATGGTTTCTACAGCGGCCAGGCCGCTTTGCATTCCTCCTCGATTTCTCCACGTATTCAACAGCGGCCAGATCTTGCATTCCTCTTCTGTTCCTCCATGTATACTACAGCGGCCAGATCGCTTTGCATAGTATCAGTTTGTCTCCTTCCCTTCTCCTTCTTCCCTGACTTTCGCAGCGGCCAGGCCGCTTTGCATTTGGTTGCACGTTCCATATCACGCAATATCGCCCTTGCTCGTTGCAGCGGCTTGGCCGCTTCAGTTGTTACGGCGGCCTGACCGCTAACGTGCGTATATGCGCCCTTGTTTGCAACAGCGGTCTGACCGCTAAATCTTTACTATTTGGTTCACGCAGCTCGTGCGTCGCTTTGGGCGTCACAGCGGCATGCCCGCTTGTTGCTTGCGCGCAGCATGTGAAGATGAGGAGGAGGAGGATGAAGGGGCGGTGGAGGAGGAGGAGGAGCTGGCAGGAGGAGGAGGAGCAAGACCAGGAACGGCCCCTCTTATCAGCGGCCTGACCGCTTCGCAGCCTCTCTCCATCCAAGCGTCGCGCCGCAGCATACGCACACAGCCGCGAAGCGCGACGGCTCAAGAGCGGCTATAGTCGCCGCTGACGGTTGCGCCGCAGGATGGACGCCCCTGCGATTGCGCGGCGCATCTCCGCAGTCGGCTTCATCCTGCAGTCGATCTGCGACCCGCTGCAGGTTGCCGCGGTGTCGGCCGCGCAAGCGGGGCAGGTGGTTAAGGAGCTCGAGGAGGCGAGGTTGCCTCCAGAGGACATTCGGCCGATTCTGCAGGCGATCGCGGAGTCGCGGTTCGCCGACGCCGACAAGGCAGCCCTCAACACCTGCATCTCGGAGCTGGCTAGCAACGGCGAGTCTGCCAGTTGCGTCGCCGGCCTTCAGGACTGGGAGTCGCTCCACGAGTTCTTGCCCCAGGCAATCTGGGATTCCCTGCCGACAGGGGATCCCAACCTCCTCTTCGACTTTCTGATCGACCTCGGCCTCCGCAGAGCTCCAGAGCCCACGAAGCAGACGATGGCTTGCCTGCTCATGCAAGCAGGGAGGGGTCTCGACGGCGCACTTCAGATTGACGTTGCGCAAAGGACGGACTCTGTGCTGGCCGTCGGCACGCTATTCGCGGAGAGGGTGGCAACGCGTCAGCGGACGACCCCCAATCCTGTCACCATGAAGTTGCCGACGGTGCCTCGTGACCTGGCGAACGACTGCCCCGCTGCGTACCAGCGGGCGCACAGCGCGTTCCCGCCGAAGCGTTTCGATCTCGACCCCGTCGGCTGGAACATCCTCAAGAAGACTACCAAGATGCGCCATCGTTCATATCGGCCCGCAAGCGTTGCGAGCTCCTCGTGGAGCATCCGCGGGGCGCAGCCAGCTGTCTCGAAACAGAGTCCTGCAGGTTCTCCACCATGGCCTTCTTTGCAGCAGCAGCAGCAGCGGCATCAGCAACTGCCGCCGAGCCAGGGCGCGTCGCCTGCGATGGTCGCGCAGTTGGTAACGTCGATGATGCCGACGCTGCTTCCGATGCAGTCGCAGATCCAGCAGGTGCTGCATCAGGTGTTGCAGCAATCTCTCACAGGGCTGCCGAGCGGGATGGCGCAAAGTCCGAGCTTTCTTCAAGCGGCCAGCGCTGCAATGCAGCATGCAGCGGCCCCTGCAGCGCTTGCTGCGTCACCCCAGCCTGCCGCGTCGCCAGTTGCGCTTGCAGCGCTGACGCCTCCCCAAGGGCCACATGCGCTTGCGGCAGCATCGCCAGCACCGAGCGCATCAGCTGCAGCATCAGCGTCCGCAGCAGCACCAGAAGCAGACGCACCAGCAGCAGCAGCAGCAGCTGCAGCAGCGTTCGCAGACGGGCCAGCAGCACCAGCGGCGCCTGCCGTTAACGCCCTGACGGGTTCCGAGCCCAAGCTGACCGTAGCCGAAGCAGCAGCAAGGATCACAGAGGCTTACGGTTCGCAGAAGGCCGACCGCAAGAGGGCAAGGAAGGAAGATGGCGAACCCCCTGAGCTCAAGAAAGCTGCAAAACCCTCGGTGCAAAAGCCAGCGGCCGCTGGCTCCGTGAAGTTGCCGCGCGCGTACGACGAGTCAACGCGTTCTAATTTCCCCGTCCGCTTCGTGGACCTTGCAGACACGCAGGCTTCCATGAGCTTCCCGTGCACCACGAAGACGAAGCAGGCGACAAAGCAGGGGGCATTTCCATCAGAGGGGGAGCGAACTTCGCGGAGGAGGAGGAGGGGCAGCAGCAGCAGAGGAGGAGGAAGAGCAGCAGCAACAGGAGAAATGGGAGCGTAGGGGAGAGTAGGGGATAGTGGGAGGGCGCAGGGGAGAGTCGGGGAGTAGGGGAGTGCATGCAGAGGGGCGTAGGGGAGCGCACAGGGAAGGGAGGCGGGCCAGCCTGCAGGCCATCAAGACCTGCAAAGACGCGTGCAGCAAGGCCAACGTGGACGTGCCCAGTGGCCACGAGTTTCTCTCGACGAAGTGACCGCGCCAGAGCTCAGACTTTCATCGCTGCGTTTGCGCGTCAGCAGCCCTGGCCGTATACGAGCATCTGCGCGCAAGCTTGCATCATCTCAGCATGCCCACGTTTGGCACAGCGGCCTAACCGCTTTGCTTGATGCTTTCTATAGCGGCCAGTCTGCTTGCATGCGTTCGCCAATATTGCTACAGCGGCCTGGCCGCTTGGGGTTCGCCGGATTTGCTTGTTATAGCGGTCTGTCCGCTTTCATTTGTTTCCGCTTTCCCCTCCTCCTCCTCCTCCTCCTCCTCATCATCCTCTTCCTCGTCCCCCTCCTCCTCCCCTTCCTCCTCCTCCTCCTCCAGCTTGCGCGGCCGCCTGCGCCGCGCCCCCCTGCGAGGCTCCGCTGAGCCCCCCTGAGGCCCCCTGCAGCGAGCGCCATGGAGGCGTTCCTCGAAATGGAGAACGTGGCGGTGCACTCCTTTCTTCTTGGAGAGGATATATCCGCATTTGTTGTATCTGCTTCTTTCTGCACCAACGCAGCATCGATGTGCTCACGCTAGTCGTCGATTGTTTTGA